CAGAATAATGACAAAAATCAGCAGTCCGTCTTCATTTCTTCTCCTTGTGGCGTCTGAACCTGACTGTTCACTGTCCATACAATGAAAGCCAATGGGGTCCAATGTGGTTTTGTTGCAGGGTTGAGATTGAGATTTTGATTCACAAGCTTGCGATTCGATTCAATTTGAAATACAGTAAAATTTTAAATATTATTAGTGTGGAATATTATTACAATTTAAAACAGCTGTTTTCTATGTGAATGTATATTAAACTGTAATTTATTTCTGTGATGCGCAGCTGTATTTTCAGCATCATTACTCCGGTCTTCAGTGTCACATGATCTTCAGAAATCAGTATAATATGCTGATTTGCTTCCCGAGAATATTTTTGCTGCACAATATTTTTTGTAGAAACTGTGATACATTTTATTTTTCAGGATTCACAGATGAATAGAAAGTTCAAAAGAGCAGCATTTATTAGAAATAGAAATCTTCTGTAACATTATGAAGTTTAAAGCTGAAATAAAATAAGATTTTTTTTTTATTTTTATTTTTTTAAATTTTATTTAATTTCAATTTATTTTGTTTCAAGTTTGTTTCAAATTTGATTCATTTGGATACACAGGCAATCAGGTACAGTAAAGAAAATCTCTCTCAAATAATGCTGTAAACTATACAACAAACCTGTCAGTCGGTACACTACTCTATTTTTATTTGTTTATTTTTATTTAATAAAAATTCAAATACGAACTTTTTAATTTTATCATAATTTTATCAGTAAACTAAAATAATTATTCTATTTTAATCATAAAAGAAACATTGTGTTTTCTTTTTTATTCTATTTTAATGATTTAATTATTACTCATTATTTATCGACAGTATACACAATATTCTAATTTAATGATAAAACACACAATGATAGTTTCTGTGAGTTTGCACGTTAGTTTGTTGCTGAAATATTAACATTTAAACAGTGGATGTCATAACTGGTTTTCATGATAGATTTATTCAAACATTCATAAATATCATGTAAAATATCATGTAATATAGTGCGCATGTTTATCATAATGCGTTCTTCTGTTTCTTTCAACACCTTCTGATGTTCAGTTTTGTTCGCTCATCAACTGCAAACAACACAGATCAATACTTGATACTTAAGAATCGATATCGTCATCAAAATCAGAAGTATCATTACAATACTGTACTGTACTGTACAATACAGAACTTATTAAAATCAGGAAATCTGTATTTTCAACCCAGTTCTCTTCAAATAGTGTTTCACAGAAGAAAGAAAGCAGGGTGAATAAATGATCGATTTTTAAACACTTCAAATCCGAATGAACCAGAAATGCTGTATGTGTTATGCATTTATGTAAATATATTCATATATTAAACTACACGCATAAGAAAACCCAAACTGTGCTCAGATATGCAGTGAAGTCAGATCTCAAACAGACTCTTGGATGAGAACTATTGACTCATATGAGTGCTTTATTTCTCCTGAGCTGGAAAATACTTTATTAAACATGATTTTAGAGCTTCAGATGAATCTCTGTTTGACTCAGTGTGAATAACTGAAAATCCAAATTACATGTGCTTTATTTGATCAAGTTAAAGACTTTCACTCAAGAATTGTTCTCAAACGTTTAGGAAACGTTGTGTCCGTTCTTTCAGTCATTAAAGAGATTCATTTCTTTTATTCTATGATTTATTTAAACATTTTAGAAACAAAGAAGCAGGGATATTTGTCTGAGCGAAATATATAATAGCAGCCAAAGAGATTAATTTCTTCAGGAGTTATACAGTACACAGCTTACATAATTATCATCTTTTACTACACTGGTTTATTTTTGGGCTCTGTGGGTTTTATTATGTATAGGATTGTTATTTTTAGGTTATTTATTATTATTAATATAAATAAAAAATACATTATTATTATTATTATCATTGTAATATTATTATTTTTAGTTTATTTATGTGGTTGCATCTATGCTTTGCTTCTGTAATTATTTTTTTTTTTGCTAAAAAAAAACAAATGACAGTGTGTAAGTGTGTAATGTGTGTGTTTCAGCATCTGTTCAGAGTCCCAGCGCTGGTCTGGAGTCAGTGTCTGAGCGCGCTCATGCCGTCCACAAACACACAGCTGCTCTGGAGCGTCACAGGGAGGATTATGGGATGGAGAGGGTTCAGCCGTCACACAGTTCTCGTCCTCCTCCAGCACTGGCCTCAGCGCCGCTCAACAAGGTGAAGCACCTGCAGATCCTCAGGGTTTGGACCTGCGTGCTCAGGCAGCTCATGTGTGTCTCGCTCTGCTTCCAGGCGCGTGGATCCAGCGGCTCGCCGGAGTTCCTGTGCTCCATGTGTCATAAAGAGTTTCCTCTGCAGCGCATGCTGACACGTCACCTCAAGTGCCACAGTATGATCAAGAGACACCCCTGCAGGTTCTGCGGGAAAGGCTTCAACGACACCTTCGACCTGAAGAGACACATGAGAACACACACCGGTGAGATCACGTCACTCAGACTCACAGCTAAACATTCCTGCTAACTGAAAGAACATATTAAAAACTTTTTATTTCAGATAGTTGCCAAGGCAGCATCTCTCATTTGATGTACTAAAAGAACTAAAACTAAAATAAAATTAACAAAAACGATATATGTGTGTGTGTGTGTATATACACATAAAATGACAAAATCTGTTTTTAAAGTCTCTTCTGCTCAGCAAGGCTGCATTTATTTGATCAGGAATACAGTAAAAATGTTAAATATTATTATAATGTAAAACAGCTGTTTTCTATGTGAATATCTGTTAAACTGTAATGTATTTCTGTGATGCGCAGCTGTATTTTCAGCATCATTACTCCAGTCTTCAGTGTCACATGATCTTCAGAAATCAGTATAATATTCTGATTTGCTGCTCGAGAAACATTTCTGATTATTATCAATGTTGAAAACATTAATATTTTTGTGGAAACTGATGCATTTTATTTTTCAGGATTCACAGATGAACAGAAAGTTCAAAAGAACAGCGTTTATTTGAAACAGAAATCTTTTGTAACATTAGA